TATATGTCAATAGTTCCCAAAGAGCTTATACCTCAGTTATTATGATGGCCTGACTAGGGACAATTCCATGAAGGCGAAACCGACAAAGCTAATATGAATCAGTGTACAACGTTCTCTGTCTGAATAAACATTGCTAACAGAAAGAACAGTTCTCTGTGTGGAAGTAGAGAAGCCTTCAAGGAAAAAATGTAACAGTGTGTCTCTAGTGTGGTGCAGGCCAAGGAAGAAACTGTCTGGAACAGAGACCAGGAGTATAGCATCACTTTGACTGGCGTACCCCTGCTGAGGAGAATGGTGCAATCAGTCAACAGCCTTCCCTGTGCTGATTTCATACTCACCACGGAACTTTTTGATTATGATTAATCTTATGTGAAATTGTCTAGAACACCGATGACCAACCAGGGCATCTTTCCATTTGTGCACTTAAAAAAGCTGGTGTTCCATCTTGTACCTGGACTTTTTGTGAATTTAGTTGATGTCAATCAGTCCCCTTGTATTTGATGATGCCTAGGGCTACTGACAAAATGGTGTTTTGAATCACTTTGCCCCCACCACACCTCCAGGTAGACCTTATTCGTTGATTAAAGGTTTTCTTTTAGTTAACACCTCTTTGTTTTTGTCTTGCAAACCTAAGTACCAATAAACACATTTTAAAATTTCTTCAAGTGTCTCTTGTTAAATAACTTACAAAGTATTCTATACACTACATTCAGAAAAACTTCAGAAGAATGTGTCCAAGTACAATACAAATCAAAGATTTGGAGATCTTTTATAACTTAGCTTTCACATGAGACAGATATACTGTGTCTCGAGGGCACGGTCTGGATCCACCTTGGACAGAACGGGGTCTAACTAGCTGTGAGTAGCAGTAAGTCACTGGCAGTCAAGTCATTCATTTCCTGTTTGGGGGTTGGATTTCTACACCTATGTGATGAAAGACTTTGATAGTATGTTCTCCAAAGGCCATTGTGACCTTAGAACCTGTGAGTTCATATTGTTTTCATTGCTTTTTTCAACAACTATTCAAGAAATGGTTACTGTGTGCCCCACACCAATGATATTGAATAAATTTGAACTAACTTGTGCACACAGTATTTATGGGGTTAAACAAAAGAATGTACTCCAATTGCCTTACCAGCACCTACTACACTACTCTGATGGAGTTGCTCGAAATGTTAGGTGAATTTGAGTCCATGTTTGTAACAACATTCCCCAGATGTTTTTGTTGTGTTGTTTTATTTTATTTATTTTTGCAGTACTGGGGATCAAAATAGAAACCTTGCGCTTGCCAGGTACTTATGCCGCTGAGCTATCTCCCCAGTCTTATTTTGTTTTTTGACATAGGCTCTTACTAAATCACTACCTTGCCCAAGCCAGGCTCAAACTTGTAATCCTCCTGCCTCAGTCACCCAGAGTGTTGGTATTATAGGCATTTGCCACCACATCCAGCAAGTGCTCTGTAGTATCATGAATGTTACCCATACTTAAATAAAATATAATGCCTGAGATTTAGGATTAAAGAAAAAAAATGAACTCAATTCATCAATTCTGCAATTTCTGGCTTAAAGGGAGACACTATAATTATTAAACTTATGTTTAAGGAGGATGTTGTTCATAAGTGGAACATTTATGACAATTTTTTTAAACTTTGTTTTTTAAAATTTTATGTGTGTGTGTGTGTGTGTGTGTGTGTGTGTGTGTGGCCAGCTCAGCCCACCAGGGGGTGGGGCTGGCTGGCATGTGGTGCTGGGGGATTGAACCGTGGTCCCTTTGCTTTGCTAAGCTTGTTCTAAGTAGGTGCTTTAGACTACTGAGCCATCTCACCAGCCCACTGAGCCATCTCACCAGCCCTTTTTTTTTTCAAAATTTTATTGATAACAGATAGCAAGGAGACAGTTTCAAATCAAATCGGAAGTACAGATTCAACAAATAACACACTGCATATAGTCTTCCTAGTGGTTAATTGCTGTAAAAGATGCGGACTTGAGATCCTATTTACAAACACCATTAGAACAAATCATTCTATTCATTAAGAGAATGCAACTATATATCTATCCCAACCACTTTGAATACACAGATACAAAATGGACATTCATCTGTATACCCCATTTTTTCTAAGTTCCGTTATTGAATATTATAGGTGTGTAAACTCAGCAAAATATTCTAAAAGAGTCCAGTAGCCCGTAATAGCATTGGGTCTTCTGTTTAATTGGCAATGTCAGAAATTATTGACCTGAGTCCCCCACAGCTCAACATAGCAGCATGGCTTTACTTCCTATATTTCGTCTTCATACTTTTCTACTGGATGGTTAAGACCAAGGTAAAGCAGGACCTGTGCAACAAGAGTTGTAGCTTTTTGGTCTGACAAGGTCAGTAAAATGCCCTCAGGATTTATCCTGAGATCCTGTACCTCCGATTGTAGACCCTTTGTCAGTGTCAGCCATGTGGATGAGTCACGGCCAATGCTTGGCCAATGTGCTCTCTCACCAGCCCTTTTATTACAATTTTGAATGGTAAAAGTCTATAGCTCCAGTGCTCTCCAACTGGAAAAAAAGAGCTGTTCTGGCCTTGTCATCCCAGAGACCACTCCTTACAAAGGCACTGGTGGGAAATGTCTTCACAGTTCTTGTGATTGGCCCGCCTTACGGCAGAACATGGAGATACTTAGCCCATTAAGCTCTAAGCCACATTTAACCTTCTTCATGAGCTTGGAAATAACTGAATTTATCATAATCCTCCTGTGGCTTATTGCTATCACTAAACATATGGGATCTTTGAACCCACCTAAGACCAGCAGCCTCAGAGCTACAGGGCCTGGCTGGCTTCTTCAGAGGACATTTGCATTCACTATATAAGAATCATTAGTGCTTTCAAAATCACTGTAGCTAGTTAACTTAAATGGCCTGAAACATGGTGCTATAATATTGCAAGTGACAGATTAAAAGAGAACTCTTGCTGAGTGAAGAAACGTGTATTAATGGACTGTAGTCATTTTACCTTGCTGTTTAAGTATGATTGCTTTTAGTTCTTTTGAATATTAGCTGCTTTATGGTGACAGAAACAAAGTATAATCTAATTTTTCTCCCCATTCTCCTGAATCATGGCATGTTAGTTAACAAAATTGCTTAATTATAAATTCTGAACAACTCCTGAATGTTTACAGTCCAGTCAAAGCATGTGAAAGTTAAAGTCATTAACATCCAATAAGAAGAAAGATTTGTACTAATAGTGTTTGGACAGGATATCATGTAGGCACTTTGAGCTATAAATGACTACTACAAAAACAACAATATGCAATGTATTAATTGTTGTAACTCCCCTACCAACCTGTTTTGAAACTGTCTCCTTGCAATTTTTTTCTCAATAAAATTAATTTAAAAAATTCAACTCACTGTACCCCTACAGATATGGAGATTGAGGCCAGGTAAAACAATGTGCCAGAATCAGGAACAGATCTCCTCATCACTTTGAAAGCACAGTGTTTTAGGGAAGCTGTGGCTTCCTGCATCGATAAAAAGCTAGCAAATCTAAGACTGGATTTGGTCTGGAATTGCTACTAATGATCCTCTAACTGACAAACATGTGACAAAATTGAGAAGACCAACAGGTAGCCTGGAAGGCAGAGTGGCAGTCAAATAAACTAGATCTGTAGCCCTGACTCATGGCGGATATTTCGTAAGTGCTTGGCATTTATCCCTGGTGTGAGCACTGGCTTCCAGATGTGACATTTGATTTCTAGAGCATGTTCAGCTATGTCATCTAGAACTCAAACATTCCAGCAAGTTTTTCAATTTTATTCTTTGAAACCTGCCAGGGAAGGCATATGCAGCATTGGCAAATGGCAGGCTACACCAAAAGCTGTTGATGGAGGGTTAAAGGAAAGCTTCAAAGGCTCATGGAGGCTAGGAGTCTAACAGTGTGCTATAATGTGCACAACTTGGAAACAGACCCAAGCTGCTGACAGGCCTGAAAGAATCAATCAGGAGCTAGGGCTTTCTTTGAATGTGAAGCTTATGCCATGTATAAGTCTCGGGGTTAGAACCAAAAACATCTTTGTTCTACAAATTATGAAGGTTGTTCAATGAGTTACAGCATGCAAAGGACTGTGGAAACCCACATTTCTCATCAGATCTAGGACCACAGATCACATTGTTCCTGTTATAGTAATTTCAAGACTGATCTTTTTCATCCTATCCTTGGGGCTATAGACTACACTGAAATTTTTTGAGTTAATATCAACTTTTGATAAGGGTAATGGTATCAAAATAGAGTAATATCAAGAACTCTTTCATATCTACCCAAAGATATATGTGCAAAGGCTTTTGAAACAGGGCCAAGTCATTTTCTCTCCACCCTCATGGAATATGATGGGACTATTTTGAACTCATGGCTGGGTCATTCCACTTGAGAATAAGAGATATCCTCCTTTGGGGTAAAAGAAGGTTGAAAATAGTAACAGGGATATTCCTGATGCCAACAATTTCCATTGAAAATGTTGCTTCACTGTAATTTCAAATATGAGATCCTGATAGCAACATAGTAAATCTCCCTGATTCAATATCTCTTAAAATTTTAGAGTGGTTGTTGTATAGAACTCTAAATCAATAACTGACATGTCCATAGATGCTAAACTTATAAAAATAAAGGGGTCCCATACATTTACATATTTCATTCTTTACTGAAGATCTCTAGACAAGTCTATTTTTCTCTTAAATTATGGTACAAAAATAAATATGTATTATTATGAGATTAAAACTAATTTCTAGAAGTCATAAACCAACTTTACAAAGTGGCTCAATAGAGAAAGAACCATATTGATGTAAGTTAAAGAAAATCACTTAAAAACACAGGTAATTAGAAGTAAGAAAGGGACATACATCCTGATGGTAAAATC